TTTTATTAAATAAATGTGGAAGCCTCGGATTTAAATCCGAGCGTTATGTGTACTTCAAAAAGTAAAAACACAAAAGCAATTTCCGTTTAAGTATCTCTGCAATAGGTGACTTAGCCTTCTTGTTTCTTAATGCTTTATATACCATTTTGTAGCTCGTGAAATTCTCTACCAAATGGTATATTATAGCGTGAGGTTTTGTTTGATTATGAGAGGAAAAATTCTTTTACGAAAACCGAGATAGGTCAATAAGCGCATAGAAACGCATAGGGAAAAGTGACTTTTTTTGCGATAACTCAGTAATGGCTCGACGAATCATTCTCATCTTCGAACACGACCGAGACATTGATGAGACGATACTGTGTACAAAATTTCATCAAGATCGCACTCTCCTTTCAAAAGTTCTCGGGTAAACGGCCGGCCGGTCGGACATACTGACCGATCCTAGAGTGTATTCACTTTTTGAGTACACAAAAAAGAAGCATACTCTGAATTATAAATACACAAAATAATCTGATTACAAAAAAATCTTATTTAACTCTCATGTATTTGTTCTCCACTACTATCTATCACTTCATTGAGTCTTTTAGGAATTTGATCGATCATCTTTTTACAATCATCGCAAGTTATTTTTTTCCATTCTTTGTTCACCCTATTTATTAGCTGCTGAAAACGCGAAAACTGTTCTCCACGTATTTTTTTCTTCAATATTCTCCAAACATTTTCGATGGGCCATACATCGGCAAATTTTGCATCATCTTCTTGAGGTGAAATTCGATCACTAAATAATTCATCAATAGTTTCTAATACAATCTTTGTTCGTTGTTTTGTATCAGCATCATCTTGAAATATAAAATTTCTTCGGCATACCTTTTGAATTTTTTTATAACCACCTTCTGTAATAAATTTAGCATATAAATGGCTGTTCATGTAAATTCTTTTTCTTGATTTGTTCTTTCCTTGGTTTTGTAACCATGATGTGACATTAAATCGACCATTTTTGGGAACCAGACCTTCATAAGAAATACCACCACAAAAGACAATTCCACTTGCAAATTTTTCTTTTGGTCGATTACGCATTTTTTATGGTATTTCTTCAGCAGATTTTGTCCACATACCTTCATTATGTGGATTTGAGAGTGATTCTAAGGTGAACTTCCCAGAAAAGTCAGTACTGACTATCATATTTCACCTTCAGTTTCTTGATCCTTTAGTAATACCAAAATTTCTTCTTAATTTCTTGGCAGATTGAACACGTTGTATTTTCTTGTCATATGTTAATTTTTGGCTTCTTTTCGTTTTAAACCATGTTAATCCTGCTGATTTTGTAGTTCTATAAATCGACGATAGTGATGTTTCACAACGTTTTCGTCTTATTTTTGCTGATACATTCCTTACACTAGCTTTTTTGATTTGGATTTCTTTCAATACTAAGTTTCGGTAAACAATAGTCGTAGTTGGTGATCTTCCAGATCTTTTTTTATCAAAAATTGATCCTCTTGCTAATAAATAATTGATTTTTTTCATTAAAGCATGTCGATTTAAATCTGGTGGATTATCTGACTGTTCGAAGAAATTTGCAATATCAGATGTGAGGGGCGTCCAAGGACTGAAGTTTGGGAATTCTCCCCATTCCTAAAAACATCAACTAAAAGTGGCAAATCCCCCGAGGAACTGAGAACTGACCCTCAGATATCTCATAAAACCTTGTCAGTTCCCCCATCGTTTCCTTCTGTTGAATAAATCTTAGTTGAATATCACGCCAGTTCCCAACTTCGATAACTTCTCATTTCCTCAATTTCTACC